AGGAAAAAATATATGTCATTTTAAATGACACAAGTTGTGTCATTTTATAGACACAAAAAAATGTGAACCCCATTAAAAAATAAAGACAAAAAATAAAGAAATGTCGTTACGTCTATAAAATGATAGAACTTGTATTATTTAAAATAACTAATAATTTTCCAATATAAAAAGATGAAAAATGTCTTTTTTTCACATTATGTAATGTACACAGTACGCGATGAGCAAAAATATTTATTAAACGTGGTCCAACTCCATTGGCCTACCACCTGCATCCATGAGCAAAAAATGATTGATTTGTGTAAATAAATAAAAAATAAAATCTAAAGTGACGACAATTGGCCATATCAATTGGCCACCACCATATTGATTAGATATCTCTGACTACTAAAGTGACAACAAACGTACTAAAAAAGAGTGGGGACTAACGTACAAAAAAGAAGAAGTGGTGACTGTGTTTCGTGATCCTTCGAAAAAATATTTATTCTTTCCACCAAACGTTTCAGTCAATACTCAGTAGCAGCAAAAAATAAATTAAAAAAATAACATAAAATAAAATAAAATAATTAATTTGTGTAATTAAATACAAGATAAAGGTGGTCCGATTTCATTGGAATACCACCAAATTTGTTTAGATTTCTCTTACCGCAAAAGAAAGGAGTATGATCTGTTTATTCAAAATATATTTATCAGCCAAATTCAATGAAAAGCAGCCAAAAATAATTCTTAACTTATTCATACTTATGATGAAAATAAATAATAATAATCAAATGCAAATTGAATTTTTATTAGGAATGCAAGTGGGATTTATAAACGCATAATCCAACTAACTCAACCCACAAAGTATAAAAAATGGATTGATTTGTGTAATTAAATAAAAGATAAAAATTGACCTGAATTGGATTAGAAAAATTAATACTCTACTAGACTCGCTGCATAATTTATTTTTTAATTTTTAATATTAGAAAATTTATTTTTATAAAATATAAAAATATATCAATTTAATGACGCAAGTCAAATTAACTCAAACTTGATCGAGTCAATTTAGCTTCAATTCCTTAAACAAATTTGGTAAAACCAAAATGACCCCAACTTAAATAAAATTTTCCTTCATTACAACCTCATCGAGATCTGAGTAGTTAGTCAAATCTGCCACGGTGGATCCTGGGAAGGCTAGGAGAGGAGACCATCATCAATGTACTAAGCTAAACAATTATATCAGGTGAATATGATATCATGTCACAACCCAAAATTTTAAGGTATTTGATTCAAGGATCCTTCTACTTATATACTTTTCACTTAGTCCATTATCAATTAATAGAAAATTTATCACACTTGAATACTCCAACAAAATTGTGAATAGATTTCATAAATGCCACTACAACCCAAAATCTTAAGGCATTGGATGAGGCTAAGTTAATTATTTTATATCTCTCTAACACACTTCTTCGTGCAAGAGCCCTTTGGGCTTGAAGTATGGATATGTGATAAACCTTTAGTTTATCTTATTTTATAGACTAAATTAATATAAAATATCAAGTTAAATAAGTCAAAAACTAGGGTTTAATATAATAATCATGAACATTATCTGAATTTTTATTTAATTGAATCATCTTTGCTATTTTTTAGGGATTTGTTGACAAAAGGAGTCAAAGATGAAGATTGGATAGATAGAGATCACAACTAGAAAAGATGAGATCAAGAGATGATAGAGGAAGATAAAAAACAATATAGATTTGAGATCTTATCAAGTTGTTAGAGAAGAAGATTAAGCCTCCATCATGAAGCTTAAGCTTCCTAAACAAGCAAATAGCCTCTGCCAATGGAAGCTAAAGCCCCAATAAGGAAGCTTAAGCCTCCAAGATACCCAAAAAAGTCTCGGCCTATGGGCGCTTAAGCCCCCAAATCAGGGCTTAAGCGCGCCACAAGAAGAAAGTTTTGTCGCGAGGAGCGCGCTTAAGCGCCCTCCATCGCGCTTAAGCGCCCTCCATCGCGCTTAAGCGCGCAACGCGAATCTAAAATCACCGTCCTAGGGCGCTTAAGCGCGCTATAACAAGCTTAAGCGCCCAGTCAGATCCAACTTAGGCCCATTCAAGGTGTTTCATCAAGATACGAACTCTTGACCTATTTAAACACCATTGGGGACCAGAAATACATAACTTTTACATTGCTAAACAACTCTTGGGTGCTCAGAGGCTGAAGGAATCCGGAGAAACATCAGATTCATGTTCGTGAGCGGCGGAGACGGATCAACGTCAAGTGTTCACTGGAGATATTGAAGATCCACCAATCACTTATGGAGTTTGGGGGAGCTTTTTTATTTTCTTTTGTTCTTGATTTTGCCATGTCCGGCTAGTTCTTTAAGTAGTTAGGGTTAGATGGATTTTAGTCGATTTATTATGCTTTGAATAATGTACGTTAATTTTCCTTTTTATCATGAATGAAGTTATCTGTTTTTAATGCTTTATATAGGCTTGAATCTTATATAATGATCATCGGTAAATGCATGACAATAGGGATGTTGGTGTGTGATCCATATCTGATAACTTCATCGTAAACGTTATGATTATAGGGATAAACATAGAATTTGCGTAACCTTAAGATTCTTGAACTTAATGCTTGCATTCTTGGGGAATAACCGGGGAACTAGGGTTCTTTCAAGTTTGTAAAGATTTTAGGGTAACAAGGGATTGAGCTCTAATAACACGCGAAAGAATTGGTTAGATTGATATTAAGGACGGTTAACGTAAAGAAGGACTTCGAATCATAATAAGGAGATTAAAGGAAATCGAACCCCTAGCTACGTTTTTATTTTATTAGTTAAATCACATCTTTAATTTCTTGTCTTTAATTCTTGCAAGTAATTAGCTTAATATTTAATATTTTAATTTTGCAATTCAAATCCTGTTTCCAAATACACTTTCGATTGTCCAACTAAGTTTGCGATAGTGAATTAGTGCTTGAACCGTAATCCTCGTGAGAACGATCTCTTACTTAATCATATATTACTTGTACGATCGGTGCACTTGCCGTGAGTAGCAACAAGTTTTTGGCGCCGTTGCCGGGGATTACTATTTCAACATTAATAGTAGCTATTAATTCTTTAGATTGGACCTTATTTTCTGTTATTTAATTTTCTATTATTTAAATTCAGTTTTATTTTCTTATTTTATATAATCTATTTTTCTGGTTTATGCGAGGTACCGTTGACACCGATTCCTTGCAATTCGACCCGGAGATAGAGAAAACAGCAAAAAGAAACAGAAAACTTGCTAAAGAAAGAAGACAGCAAGAGAAAGAAGCTTCAAGCTCAACAGAACCAAGAGAAGAAGCAATGGGAGACAACAATGCACCTCCACCACCTCCGAGAACGTTGGGAGATTACATGACTCCTGCTCGAGTTCCACAGACGGCGAGTATTGTTAGACCAAACGTGGATGCTAACAACTTCGAACTCAAGCCGGCACTTTTACAATTAATTCAGAAAGACCAATTTGCCGGAGGAAGCACGGAAGACCCTTACATCCATCTGGAAAACTTCTTGTTATATTGTGATACCTTGAAGATGAATGGGGTGTCTCGGGATGCTATTTTGCTCAGATTGTTCCCATGTTCACTTAAAGACGAGGCAAAAGGATGGTTGCAATCGTTACCTCAAGGAAGCATCACTCACTGGGATGACTTGGCAACCAAATTCTTAGACAAATTTTTCTCATCTTCGAAAATGGCAAAGCTCAAGGCTGATATCACTTCTTTTGAACAAAAAGAAAGTGAATCTCTATATGAAGCATGGGAAAGATTCAAAGGACTACTCAGGAAGTGTCCCCAACATGGCATTGAAGCCTGGGAACAAGCGAGAACTTTCTTCCAAGGGATGAAGCCCAACACAAGAACATTGGTGAATGCTGCATCAGGAGGGTCCTTGAAAACAAAAACTCCAGAGGAAGCCTTGGAATTATTAGAGTCTTTAGCCTCTCAGGAGTATGATAATGCTCCCGTACCACAGAGAAGAGCGGGGATTATGAAGCTTGATGGCTATGATGCCATCCTGGCCCAGAATGATCAGATTCTACAGTCAAATAAGAAACAGCAACAACAACTAGATGCTCTCACAAAGCAATTTTCTGATTTTCAAGTTTCTTCTGTTAATACTCCAGTAGCTTTTGTTAATACTTCTTCTATTGTTTGTGATATTTGTGCAGGTGCTCATGCTACTGATGACTGCAAGGCACCCGAAACTGCAGATGTTAATGGAATTTGGCATGATCAGAAAGTTCCATATAATCCAGGGAGGAACCAATACGACAATAACCAGAATCAAGGGTGGAGAAATAAAAATCAAAATCAACACCCATGATTCAGTTATAGTTCGAATCATCAGTTGAATCCTCCTATGCCAGTACCACAGCAACCTCCACAACAATCAGAGTGGGAGAAGGCCTTTGCACAACTATCTAAGACCATGTCAGATTACATTCAGAGTTCCAATGCTTTCAGAGAAGACACTTCAGCCTTTATGCAAGAAACAAGGGCCTCATTCCGGAATCAAGAAGCTTCTATCCGGAATCTTGAAACTCAGATTGGCCAGCTATCAAAGCAGTTCACTGAAAGAGTTCAAGGAACTTTTCCAGGTAACATTATTCTAAATCCAAGTAGGGAACACTGCAATGCGATTACTACTATGAGTGAGACAGCCATTGAACCTGTGGTAAAGCCTTCAGTTGAGAAAAAGAAAGATTATGAACTTGCAATTGAAAAGGAAAAAGAAAAGGAAGTTGCCAAAAAATCTGCTGCAGAGAAAACTGTACCTGAAAAGAAAGAATTCAAATGGGAGAAAAAGAAAGCTCAAGAAAGGCAAGAAAAGTCATTGGAGCTCTCACCTTATGCAAAGATTCCATATCCGCAGAGGTTCAGAGGAAATCAAAAAGCAGCAGTATTCCAAGTTCCTTGACATTTTCAAGAAGCTGCAAATCAATATCCCGTTTACTGAAGCCTTGGAGAACATGCCCAATTACGCAAAGTTCATGAAAGATCTTTTATCACGAAAGCGTAAGCTACAAGAATGTGAGACGGTGACTCTGACAGAGGAATGCAGTGCCATTACCCAGAAAAAGTTGCCTCCAAAGCTTAAAGATCCAGGAAGATTCAGCATTCCATGCAACATAGGCAATATGGAAGTGAAAAATGTTCTATGTGATCTCGGTGCCAGCATCAACGTGATGCCACTATTTATGATGAATAAACTGGGGATTACTGAAGTAAGGCCAACCAAGACAATAGTTCAACTGGCTGACCGCTCTACAAAGCAAGCTTATGGCATTATTGAGGACATACTGGTAAAGGTTGACAAATTCATCATTCCTGTTGATTTTGTCATCCTTGATATAGAGGAAAATTCTACTATTCCTATGATCTTCGGAAGACCTTTCTTGGCAACCTCAGGAGCGCTGATTGATGTATCGAAATGCGAGTTGATCTTACGGGTAGACGGGGAGCAAGCAATTTTCAAGTTCTTTGATAAAGAAGTCCCTTCACCTATAATTCAACCGCAAGATCAAGTCTACTATATTAGTGAAAAGAAAGGAGAAGAAGAGCACAAAGATAATTCTTCTCAAGAAAGTAAGCCAAAGGTTAAAATGGAGAAGCTCAGGAGCAAGGGAAAGCACGTAAACACCAAATTCAAAGCTATTGAGCCTACTTCATCTCACTCATATGCACAAGAGTACTATGGGAGGACACCATTTCTGAATGATAGAGCTTGGTCATCACCAAGCCCATGCTTTGAACCACCATGAACATAAAAGAGGTACGTCAGGCTCGTGACGTAAAACAAGCGCTTGTGGGAGGCAACCCAACTATATTTTTTATTTTCCAACATTTTAGTATAGTATTTTAAATTTAGTTTAGTTTATTTTAATTATTCTTAGCATAGTTTATTTTAGTCATATCATAAAAATCAAAAAAAATAAAAACATTGAGGTTAATGATCAAATTCTGTTGAGATGGACTTTCAGGTGTAAGTGGGATTAAAGCATACACAGGTACGCAACTCTTATTCATTTATATGTTTTGTGTATGATATTGAGCAGAATTATTGAGGTGAAAGAATACACAGTAGAGATGAATGCAAGTAATAGGAAAATATGGAGAAAATTTTCTAAGTATTGAGAGCTTAAGCCCTTAAAGGAGACTTAAGCCCCCCAAAAAGTGAAATTTCTTTTGGCCCTAGCGCGCTTAAGCGCGCTAAATAAAATTTTATCCCATTTCTCACTGCCTCAGCGCGCTTAAGCGCGAATCACTGCGCTTAAGCGCGCTCATCTTTGACATTATGCATATTGTTAAAGTATTTCAGTTCCATATACTCATTATTATTTTCAGATGCATCTGAATATAAATCTGGGAATTGTTATGTGGAAATTGCACTAACTTTGCAAACATGTTGGATACTCGAATACTAATGCTGATATGGTTGCAGACACTACACAGGATGCTGATAGAAATGATATTGCACCCACTACTGAAATTGATGAGGATTGACCATTGTCTCAATGTTTAGATTTTTTTTCTTTTGTTGATTTTAGTTCATGTTGATATGAGATGTATATTGAGACTGATCTTGACGTGACTATGATTTTTTTTTTTTGGATATGACATGCTGACGTAGTTTCTTTATCTGTGACATGTGTGCAGAGTACAGTTTCAAATTTTTCTGATTTCTTGCTTAGGATTCTTTTAGATTTAAGTTTATTGCTGAGGACAGCAAGATTTAAATCTGGGGATGGGTACCATGCAATTCATCAGACCATAAACTTCACATGGTCGGAAGAAGAAACTCTTGATTACACGGAGTACACAGAAATATCCAAATTACAAATGCAGTTTTTCAGGGGAGTTTCTCAATATTATTTTCATATTATATGATTTTAAATATATTATTTTGATTTAGTATTAGTTTATTTTAAGGTCTTCATATATATTAGTTAGTTTAATATTTAAGTTTTTTTTTAAATTATTTTTAAGACCCCTTCCATCTTAGTCAATAAATAATTAGTGGATCTTAAGAGATTTTCCATTGTGCTTGATATGGATGCATAATGAATAATTACATGAAATTGGTTGATAGTTGATATCAAGAGTATAATGATGTAAATAAATTTTATTTTCGTACATAAATGAGCGTCAGTCAAGCATGCTTCATAGTTCACTGGAATAAGAGAAGAATAACTAGAGTAATCAAAGAGAGAGTGGAAAAATAAGTCTCACATCCTTAGGCGTAAGCTTTTGAGCCTAAACAGAATTTTTTTTTTGTGGTGTGAACTTTACTGTTGAATCACTCTAGAACTTGTTTTGTTTCTCTTTGAAATGTTCTGTAGTATACAATTGTTGAAATGATAGAGGCAGTTCTTTTTAAAAGCTAGATAGCCAAATAGCCACCCTGAAGGTTTATTCTTAGATTAAGCCCTTTTGAGCCGAGGCCTGTTTGTTCATTGACAGTACATTATGAATAGCCATTCCATACACATCCTCACCTAAACTGATTAATTTTCATTTTTAAATAAGGGACTAGATATGATTGAAACAAAAAGAAAGAAATTCAAACTCTAGTGTGTGGAAGAAAAGGTGAAAAGAGGAAAAACCAAAAAGTGGTGGAAAAGAAAAGCAAAGAAAAAGGTTGAAATGTGTATCTGTACAAAAACAGAAAAAGAAAAACAAAAGGAAAAAAAAGAAAAGAAATAAAAGGTTCCTAGTTTATGAATAAGTGGAAGAAGAAAATAGGAGAAAAATAAGAGAAATGTTGAAAAGTCATATTAAAGTTCATCTTTAAAATTGAATTTTGATCAGTAATCTCAAGCCACTTACCCAGATAATTCCTTTCCTTTTACCTAAGCCACGTTACAACCTTATCAAAGACCTCTTGATTAACCTTGTATACCAATTACACTGTGGAGAGTGAGAATATAAACAAGCCTATGATAGTGTTAATGCAGTGAAGTAAGAGTGAAACACATACCCTTAAACACTGAGTATGAGTGAATAAATAAAAATCCAATGAGAGGGTGTTGTGGAAATTAAATGGTACTACTCTTTCTTTTGAGAACACATGTTATGATTTTATGACTGGTGAATTATGACTGTTTGCTTGAAATTGATGTGACATTGATTTTTAATAAATCTGAATACTTTGATATCTCATTATTGATCAGTTTTCTGTCTGTTATTCATTAAGCATGACTAGCCGTCTCCAAACTTTCCCATAGTTTTATTCTAATTGATTGCTGAGGACAACAATGTTCAAATCTGGGAATTGTTTGATAAACCTTTAGTTTATCTTATTTTATAGACTAAATTAATATAAAATATCAAGTTAAATAAGTCAAAAACTAGGGTTTAATATAATAATCATGAACATTATCTGAATTTTTATTTAATTGAATCATCTTTGCTATTTTTTAGGGATTTGTTGACAAAAGGAGTCAAAGATGAAGATTGGATAGATAAAGATCACAACTAGAAAAGATGAGATCAAGAGATGATAGAGGAAGATAAAAAACAATATAGATTTGAGATCTTATCAAGTTGTTAGAGAAGAAGCTTAAGCCTCCATCATGAAGCTTAAGCTTCCTAAACAAGCAAATAGCCTATGCCAATGGAAGCTTAAGCCTCCAAGATACCCAAAAAAGTCTCGGCCTATGGGCGCTTAAGCCCCCAAATCAGGGCTTAAGCGCGCCACAAGAAGAAAGTTTTGTCGCGAGGAGCGCGCTTAAGCGCCCTCCATCGCGCTTAAGCGCGCAACGCGAATCTAAAATCACCGTCCTAGGGCGCTTAAGCGCGCTATAACAAGCTTAAGCGCCCAGTCAGATCCAACTTAGGCCCATTCAAGGTGTTTCATCAAGATACGAACTCTTGACCTATTTAAACACCATTGGGGACCAGAAATACATAACTTTTACATTGCTAAACAACTCTTGGGTGCTCAGAGGCTGAAGGAACGCGGAGAAACATCAGATTCATGTTCGTGAGCGGCGGAGACGGATCAACGTCAAGTGTTCACTGGAGATATTGAAGATCCACCAATCACTTATGGAGTTTGGGGGAGCTTTTTTATTTTCTTTTGTTCTTGATTTTGCCATGTCCGGCTAGTTCTTTAAGTAGTTAGGGTTAGATGGATTTTAGTCGATTTATTATGCTTTGAATAATTCGTACGTTAATTTTCCTTTTTATCATGAATGAAGTTATCTGTTTTTAATGCTTTATATAGGCTTGAATCTTATATAATGATCATCGGTAAATGCATGACAATAGGGATGTTGGTGTGTGATCCATATCTGATAACTTCATCGTAAACGCTATGATTCTAGGGATAGACATAGAATTTGCGTAACCTTAAGATTCTTGAACTTAATGCTTGCATTCTTGGGGAATAACCGGGGAACTAGGGTTCTTTCAAGTTTGTAAAGATTTTAGGGTAACAAGGGATTGAGCTCTAATAACACGCGAAAGAATTGGTTAGATTGATATTAAGGACGGTTAACGTAAAGAAGGACTTCGAATCATAATAAGGAGATTAAAGGAAATCGAACCCCTAGCTATGTTTTTATTTTATTAGTTAAATCACATCTTTAATTTCTTGTCTTTAATTCTTGCAAGTAATTAGCTTAATATTTAATATTTTAATTTTGCAATTCAAATCCTGTTTCCAAATACACTTTCGATTGTCCAACTAAGTTTGCGATAGTGAATTAGTGCTTGAACCGTAATCCTCGTGGGAACGATCTCTTACTTAATCATATATTACTTGTACGATCGGTGCACTTGCCGTGAGTAGCAACAATATGACACAAGTCCATTTTTTGTCTGCCTTGTGCTGCACAAGCCCATTTTTTGGTCTGTCTTGTGCTTTTCTTAATTCCACCCGAAAGTGCGGGCGGATCTCTCGTGACCTTATAATCACTGAAGTTCTGATACCATGATAAGAATCGCTTCAATCCAAAATCTTAAAGCATCGGGTGATGCTAAGTTAATTGTTTTATATCTCTCTAATAACACTGATAATTAAAGACATGAAAATGGTGCCAAATTGTCTCTATTCCAATCCTATCCCATAGCCATAGCTCCTCTATATCATTGAGATTTAAGAAGAAAGCTCACCGACAACCCTCAAGCTAGGTGAGCAAAAATGAAAAGAAACTAACTTCATTCCTCGATTTATATTCTAACATCTCACACTCTTCTCATTCAAAACAAAGAAGAAAAACATAGAAGCAGGAAATATGTTCATGCAACAAATTCATCTATCAAATTCAAGTCCAACTAGCTGTCTCATCTTTCACAAGCCATGCCTCCATGGGAATAGTACTCATCCTTCTTTTAAGGTTTTGTCAAGGCCTTCGTTCTTCCCAAACCAAAAGAAGCAAAATGGGGTTAGGACTGGGTGCAGGTGCAGCAAAATCAAAGCTGTGGCTGTGAGTGAAATAGAAAAGAAATCTGTTAAAGTTAAAGTCACTATAACTGTTCTGCGAACTGTTGGTGGGTTTTTCTCAGAACTTGGTTTAGAACGAGGGATCGATGATATAAGAGATTTACTCGGACAATCACTTCTCTTGGAGCTTGTTAGCACCACGCATGATCCTAGTATGTACTTGTTTAATTTAACAAGTATTGAACTATATCAGATTCCTTATTTACTTTTGTTGAAGTCAAACATGTGAAAATATATACTTCATAAAAACGGTCTTCATGTCCAAGGGATATTTTTAATTCACCTAAGGAGGGTGTTAAAGATTTAATTTAAAGTTAATTTATGTGTGTTCAATAATCAACTTAAGATTTGCATCCATCGTTTAAAGATTAAAGTACTGTTGCTTAATTTGGTTAGAATACGTGTTAATAACATTATTATTTGTATTTTTTTTGTTTTTTTGTTTCGTTGTTTTGCTCCAAAAAGAGACGGGATTGGAGAAGGAAACTATCAAAGGTTACGTCCATAAGGCGCAACAATCATCAGAAGAGGTAAAGTATGAGGCTGAAATTGAAGTGCCAGATAGTTTTGGTGAGATTGGTGCCATTTTTGTGGAGAACGAGCATCACAAGGAGATGTTCATCAGGAATGTTGTACTTGAAGGTTTCCTCACTGGTCCCGTCACATTTTCCTGCAACTCCTGGGTTCATTCCAAGTTTGATAACCCTGTTAAGAGGGTGTTTTTCAGCAACAAGGTTTCATCTTCACCCCCACTCCTTAGTGTATATTCATGTATTAATAATGTATCTGTTTTGATCCTCACCAAAAAACAAATGTACCTGTTTGATAAAAAAAAAAATTAAGTTAATAATTATTTTTAAGTCAAAGTTAAAAAAAATTAAAAAAAAAAGTTAAAAATTGCTTGGTTACTATATAGTTATTTAAAGGAGATTAAATGATCTGTTATTAGATAAAATTATAAGTGTAAAGAGTAAAATTTGGTAATACAAGTTTATAATAAGAGTAAAATGAAAAGATAAATGTAAATTTCTTTTTTGATTTATTAAAAAAACTCTTC